TCGATGAGAGAGAAACATCGACCAGCTGCCTCCTGCATACCTCCTACTGGGGATGTGCCCGCAACCAACGTACATGCCCTTGACCGGAATCGAACCTGGGACCTTTCAGTCTGCAGGCCGATGCTCTATCCACCAAGACAAACTGGTTAGGGCTTCTCTATCCAGTTCTCTATCTTGGGACACTTTGGTTGCTTCCATGTCTTGGCCACCACAAATAATGCTGCAATGAACACAGAGGTGCATATATCTTTGCGAAGACATGATTTTGAGGTTTTATATTTTCGGGTATATATCCAGGAGAGGAATTGCTGGGTCATATGGTAGCTTTATTCTCAATTTTTTGAGGAATCACTAGACGGCTTTCCATAGTGGTTTTGCCAGTCTACATTCCCCAACACTGGATGAGGGTACCCTTTTTTCCACAACCTCTCCAACACTTGCTATTGCTTTTCTTGTTGATAATGGCCACTCTTAACAAGTGTGAGGTGGTATCTCAATGTAGTTTTGATTTGTTTTTCCTTAATTGCCAGTAAGGTTGAATATCTTTTCATAGATCTATTGGCTGTTTGTATATCTTCTTGGGAGAGGTGTATTTTCAGGCCCTCTGCCCACAATTTGATTGGGTTGTTTGTTTGTTTGGTGTTGAGTTTTATGAGCTCTTTATATATTTTGTAAATGAAACCTTTGTTGGAGCTACTGTTTGCAAATATCATCTCCCATCTGGTTGGCTATCCCCATTTTACAGATGAGGAAATAGGCTAAGGGAGCTGAATCATCTGCCCAAGTACACATAGCTAGTAAGTGAGTGGAAAGGGACTTGACCCAGAGAGTCTACACCAATAACTGCTTTGATCCAGGGAGTTCGTGAGTCAACTAGGTCTTAAGAAAGGAACATCAACTGATCTGGCTGGGCAGGGCCCCCGGGGGAGGAAACTGCCCTGACTTCTTCCTCTGCAACCCTTTTCCTTCTCTCATTTTCCATTCTTTTTCTGGAAGGTAATTGCTTGGGGGCAGTGACAACCTCCTGGTGAATTACACAGCTGGTTTCCCAGTGAGATTTGTAACAACAATCCCGCCAGCCTGGCAGCCCCCAGCAAGTTCCGGTTTAGGAAATAATTGCTGGATTGTGTAGTTGGTGCTAAATTGGGTAATTTCTTGGTGACGGCATGTGTGCCACTTCTTCCATTCCCAGATAGATTTGAGCTGCATCAGAGAATTTGTCACATGCGACACCCTCCCAGACGCCATCACTCCCCACTCACCAGCCAGCCACAGGCAGTTGCAGAAATGACTGCTTTCCTGGGCCCAGAGGTTCACCATGTGGGGCCAAGCTCTGTGTCCTGGGACTGTAGAGAGATGACTTGGAGCAGTAAAATGGGAAACATAACACCGGCACCAGAGTTGTCACAGGGCTGCAGAGAGCTTCCTTTACTCTGTACTTATCTGACCTTGGACTTGGAACAAACTCAGTACTCACCACACAGGGGGAAAGGCTAAACCACACTCTGGTTAGCTCTAGAGTATGTGGTATGTGGAAGGGTTTTTCTTATTTGTTTCCTTTTCTTAGAATTCATTTTCATTTCTGTGTTTACTTCAGAACGGTGTTTAATACGTTCGGCTTCTCTGGGCTGGCCTCCCAGGTGAGAGGAAAGCTAAGGCATTGGAGAGGCCACGCTGGCTTTGCCACCAACTCTGTGACCTGAGCCTCTTTAAGCCTCGGTTTCGTCTTCGGTAAATTGGGGAGGGGGATAATATCTTTCCCTTGGAATAGTTGTGGGAATGAAATAAAAATGTCCTAAGTGGAGGGATCTTGTTCTTTGCAGGCTCACATTCACTCAGCAAACACCTGCCACATGTCAGGCATTGTTCTAGTGGCCGGGGATGATGCAGTGCAGAAGATGGATGAAATTCCGGCACTTACATGGCGCTTACATTCTAGTGGGAGAGACAGACGATCTCTGCGTCACTCAAATTGAAAATGGTAATGATTTAAGAGCTATCCAGGCCCATAGTGCCTTGAGAGCAAACAGCAGGAGGATCTGACCTAGTCAGGGAGGCCAGAGAAAGCTTCCCTGAGCAAGCAACAACTGGGCTGAGATCTGAAGGGTGTGTAGGAGTTAGCAAGGCAGAGGTGGGCAGGCAAAGCTTTCTGGACGGGCGGAACAGGCCCCATGATGGGAGGGATCCTGGGACTGCAAAAGACTGGCCTGGCTGGAGCAGAGGAAGTAAGGGGGAGCGTGTTGTGAGAGGAGGTGGAAAAGTAGGAAGGGCCAGACCTGCAGGCCTTGTTGGACAGGTTAGGGTGTTTTATCTTGAGAACATCAATAAGCCAATGAACAGTTATAAGCAGAGAAGTGACATGATCAGATTTGTGTTATCAAATGACCATTTGGATTGGATCAGGGTAGGAATAGAAGCAGGGGCAGCAGGTAGGAGCTTTTGCAGACGTCTAGGCAGGAGGTGATGTTTCGGAGGTAGTTGGATTTAGTTAGCAGTGCTTTCTGCTGCAAATACAGGAAATCTGGCCAACAGTGATTTAAATAAAGAGGAGTTTATTTATTACCACATTTAGGCCTGGAGGAAGGGAACTGCTTGTGTTGGTTCCCAGGCTCAATGACTCCAAGACTAGCGCTTCTGCAATTCTCTAGGCTTTTCTCTCCTGTTGTCAAGACAGCTGCCCTAGCTCTGGCATCATGGTTGTATTCAAGCCAAGAAGAAAAGACGATACTAGCGAGCTTCACCCTTTTTATCACAAAGGCCAAATCTTCCTTAGAAACACTCATTCGATTTTTATATACATTTCATTAGCCAAAAGTGAATGATATGTCCTCTAGTTCCAAGGGAGGCTGGGAAAGGAGGTTGAGAGTGAGTTTTAGCTACTCAGCTAACAGTGATTTGGTGAATATGGAAATAAGTGGGCAGATCTATTGTTAGGAAGCAAAATCCAGAGGACTTGGTGATGGATCACATTATTAATCTCCTCTTTGTTTTTCCTTCTTATTGATTATGTTTAGTAATAAGATGGCATCAGGAGGAATGTGATTGTAAAACATAATACAAAGGAGAAAGCCTATGTAATTAAATCTATATCAGTTCAGTCTTTTTTCTGCATGTGTGTTAATCTTCACTCGAGGATATTTTTCCCATTGGTTTTGAGATGGGAGAGAGAGAGAGAGAGAGAGAGAGAGAGAGAGAAAGAGAGAGAGAGAGAGAAACA